TTCCTGCAACACCGAGCTTTTCACGCACCAGTGAGCCCCGTCGTCTCGTGATGTTTGTTCACATCCCTCTTTTGCCTGTCCGCCTCCGTGAAGGAGACGTGCGCTTGAGCCGACGAGGCGGGGCCGCATTCCTCCTTTCCTTTCACTTACATTTCTTTCTCTCCCACTCCTCATCCTTGTGTATCATGTTGAGGTCACCTGAACTGAGACCAAAATGCAGTTTTAAATGGGAAGCGGTTTGTGCCTCAAGTGGTGTTCCTCTCTCTCTCTTGCAGCGTCAACACCCCACTGCGAATGCGCGTCTTCTGCCCCTGTTTCTCCTCCCTCACGCTCCCCCTTCTCTCGCCTCTAATGGCGACCACACCATGACAGCTAAATTTTCGCAGCAAAGTGGCAAGTTGGGCTAGTTGGATTACGATCATAACTGAAAATTTTGTTGAAGCGCACTAAAGATGGACGCAAGATGTCCGTCCGTCTTCAGTGCGCTTCAACAAAATTTTCAATTATGAGCTAAATTTTAGGGGCTTTACCTACAGCGCATACACGTCCGCTCCTCTCTCTCTTCCTGCGCGCTCTCTCACTCTCACTAGTCGGCCTTAGTCGGCGGTGATGGCTGCTAGATGCTTCCTCGGAACCACAATGCTCAGAACACACGATCGATTCGTAGCCGTTGATCGTCGGTCTTACGGCGTTCCACGTTTTCGTGAGATGGAACGCGTCTGCTTTGTTAGCAGAGGATCACGTTCAATGTCTCAGGCGTGTGCTTTGAGGGAGTGGCTGTTTAGCATGCTAGTCATGCATGGTCACCGGCAGCGGTAACCAGTAGTGGTAGTCAAGTAGAGGTTCTGAATGTTGGTGCACCTGCTTAAGAAGACGTATACGAGCTTCTGTAGGGTTTGTTCACCATCTCCCCGCTGCTTCGCATCCACACTCCCATTATCAGATGGCGTAATTTTTAAATTCGAAGCATTTCTTTGCGTATTGCAAGAAAATTTAGGATGTCTGTCTGTCTGTCTGTCTGTCTGTCTGTCTGTCTGTCTGTCCGTCTAACAGTTCAACGTATGTATAAATGTGCAACATTGGTACATATATTTAGCGTCGGTTCATGACGTGTCACTCGATAAAAAAAATCGCAGCACGGTCACCTTCGCAGGCTTCGTATAACGCCGATTCATAAGGAACTTAGGTTCTGCCGAATTTTTCTTTTTTCTCTCTTTCAATGTCACTCCATGGATACTGCTGCGCGCGGGCTTAGCGCACGACGTCGCTGACGGCGCTCCCAGTGGTACGCATGCGCTTGGGTGTCACGTGCAGAATGACGTATACAGACGAAGCACCCAATGAATGGAGACGATTAGTGTTTCTAGTGGCGACCCATTTTTGTTTCGCCCAATCGTATACAGCTCACGCTGTAAAATTAATCGTGCTTGGAACTTAGCCGATAGTGAGGATATTTGCTTCCCTGATAGAGCTACACGAGGCGTGCGGTTGAGCTGTACTCAGGCCCCCAATTGTCAATTTAATTTTCAAAATTCACGATAGTGTTGTTTCGCCGTTATCAGCCGGCGTGCTTGATCATTTGTTTCAGCTCTGTGCACTGGTTTCTTGTGAGGGGGAGGGGGGGGGCGTCTACAATCGTGGCCGAACCGGCCTTGAGGGGGAGGATGCCTGCTGCCGTGTGCGTTGAACCGTTTTTGAAGTGAAACCTAGCCTGCCTGTACAAGACGGGACACATAAGGCGTGCACGTAAACGGTAGCCGTGAGCAAGATCACGGCCGTTCGCATGTTTTCGCTCCTGGAACGTGTCTCGTTTTTGGGAGCAAAGCGTTTTTAGGAGCCTGCACTCCACCGTCGAAGCTACCTGATCAATCACCGCCCCCTATCCCAGCGTTTATAGAACCAGGTCAGTTTCGCAGCTCCTAACGGACGCTTGTTCACCGATGTAGACGCGACGGCCGACACGTAAACTATCGACGCCGCCATTCTATATATTGCATTATGACTCACGCGTTCACAAACCACTCTCGACTATAGTTCACCATACGAACGGTGTACAAAGAAAGAGAGAGTCTCGCTCGCTGGATTCCGTGCTGACCGGTTGTGCCCTCGCGATCTCCGACGTCAGCGTAGCTCTGGCCGACTGGGCTGGCTCTTCGTCATCTCCTGACGCCGACAAGAGCTCTCGCAAGTGGTGCCCCGTCCTCGGACTCCTGTGAACGTGTTTCTATCTTTCCTATCCCTCAACATGTCCTCGCTCGCTGTCCCAGCGCACCTTTCTCTCTCTCTATACCTTTAATCCTATTCTTTTAACCTTCCCCATCCGTTGCGAGTTACTGTTGAGGTGTCGCACCCTGATGCAGACAGTTACGGGGCTCACTTTTCTCTTCTTTCCCCTCTTATAGAACCACTTCAGAAAGAGAGCATGGAGGAACGCCAAACGCGTGCCAGCGGTCACTCCTTGCGCGTCTCGGCTCGCTGCATCATGTGCGTTGCCTCCGTGATTAGCTTCGCCCATGGCTCCGACGACGCGCAATTGAAAGCAACGGTGCGCTGTCGTGTCCGATCTCGCGGGACACGGCAAGCGACGCAAAATTAAGGTCCCTAGATGAAACAAGTTTTTCATCTAGAGACCTTACGCAAAATGGACCAGCAGCGCGGTAAGTTCACGCGTCAGCCGCGTGTGCCACCTAGCGAGCGGAGCTGCGAAACTGTACTGGTTATTATAAAAATGTTGTCCCTCTCTACCGCCTTGATGAAATCCAGCAGCAAGAGCAGGCACATTGTCACTTGCGTCCACTTTCTAAGGGTCTTCGCTCATCGGTTGCATTCGTACACGGAGCTGCTTTAGTTTTTGTAGTCCGAGGCCATGGTCGTTTGAAAACCGCAGTTAACCATACTGAGATATTTTTGATAATTGACATATAAACATACAGGAAAATATATTTTCCTTTTTCCATGGCAATGCCACAATCCTTCCTCGAGTTCTGTTATCGCCTCGTCACACTGTAAGTTCTGCCTTAAGGCCGCGTTCACACTTGAGCATTCCGGCCGCCGAAAGTGCTCCGAATCCGGTTCGGCGGCGGCAAAATTCGCCGAAAGGGCCCTCTCCGCGCCGATCGCTCTCTGACCGATTTTTGCGGCGTCTGCCGCCGAATAGGTCACCGAGGACCAATAGGAGCGCTAGTCAAGGGATTTTGAAAAATGGTGGCCAAGCCCTATACTCACTTGTTATGGCGCAGTGCACGTAACTGAATGTTGAAACCAACGGGAGTTTAACCTACTCTGTGCCTACTTCGCCTCCGCATTTCGTGAAAGAGGTGACCGAACTTGCTGTTGGCGTGACCGAGCTTGTTGCGGTCTTGCAGAGCAAAACGAACCCACCAACGCCGCTGGCGTCGGTGGTTTTTCTGCTCTTCGTTCATTACAAGACAGCCACTTGCCAGCAAAGTAAGCAGTACTGTCTTTTCTTGCTTCTTGCGTACGAGAATCGTCGAAGTATACCTCACCGGATAGCGTAGTAGCGTTTGCGAGCCACGACAACAACCGGGTGACAGCGCATCCATCCCGCGTTCGCCCCGTAGTAGATGGCATATTCGGCGGTGCGGGGCGCGTCCAGTGCGAACGACGCTGCGTTTCGGTGGCAGGGGAATTTCGGTCGCTGTAGAAAGCGGATTTTCCAGTGTGAACTAGGCATAACGCGAACCACGCCCAGTGACCAGAACCATTGAAGTAATCGTGGGACCTTCCGATGCGATTACGCGCTCAACGCGAACATTACGGCTCCTTCTCGAACTTACGCGTGCGACAGCGATAACGCTGCAATACTCGACGGTACATGTGGAAATGCCGACGAGCTTCACCTGTTGTCGGTTGATCGACGGCCGACGCCAAGTTCACCGCTATCACTGCCAGTGTACATTGCTGTATTATCATTTTACGTTGACCGGCCACAAGACCGGCTAAACAGTTTCATCATCTCGGACAATGATCACTGTCTTTGTCAACGTCACGATACGTGACATCCGGTGGATCTGCGTCCTTTACTTCAACCAGCACCTCAACCAGATGTCAAGCAGCACCTCAACCAGATGTCACAGTGGGGTACCAACTCCAACTCTTTCGCGAGTGTGTGTGGGGGGGAGAACTTGGCTCACTCGTCAGCCGGGATATATATATATATATATATATATATATATATAATTAGTGTCTGTGTAAGAGCCTTCACTACAAAAAAGATTATCAGAGCGGTAATGTTGGCAAATTTGGGTTTCCCAACGTGCAGCCATGAGTGACCACTGTTAAAAGGAGGGAGAGGGGGTCTCAGCCCTCCCCAACTTTTTTCAGTGGGAAGAGCTCGCGTCCCCCTTGCCCCCCCCCCCCCCCCGGCTGATACGTCTATGCGTAGTTGCGACGTGGGCGAAGGCAGTGGTCAGTGTGTCCGAGATGCGTCGACACGGCGGAGTAGCGTCTGCGCATCCTTTGGACCCATTTATAATCACTGAACCTACTTGCTGTTCGATTCATTAGTAGGAGTGTGTTCGCACATACCTATTCAGAGAATGTTAGTGTTAATCGCATGGTCTACTAATTGGCGATGTTGTGTAAATGTAATGTCACTGGCAGTGCCGGCCACTCTTGTGTTATAGCCTTCTATTGCTCTTTTGACGAGACACCTTTCGTGGTTGTGCGATGCATGAAGAGCGATGCATGAAGTGCACCGCACATTCGACTAATGCCAGAACCTGTCTGAATTCAATGTCAGAGGAGACACTTCGCGTCACAGTGCGGACACACTGCGGTTAAACGCGTTGTTCATAGACGTGATTAGCCGCCATTATTGTTGGGCAGCGAATCTCTTAACCGTTATGACAAAGATCTAGGTCTGCGCTACGCAGCTTTGCACTTCGACATACCACCTCTGATATTTTGAACATCGCGTCTCGAATCTTGTCGCCAAGCTCACTAACATGCCCGCTTCCTTATTGACTCTCAGCTTGCAGGTCAAAATGCGTGAATGCATCTCTGTTCACATCGGACAAGCGGGCGTCCAAATCGGCAATGCCTGCTGGGAACTGTACTGCCTTGAGCACGGCATTCAGCCAGACGGCCAGATTTCCAGTGACAAGTCGATCGGTGGAGGCGATGACTCCTTCACCACGTTCTTCAACGAGACCGGTGCCGGCAAGCACGTTCCGCGCGCCATCTACGTCGACCTTGAGCCCACGGTCGTGGACGAAGTCCGTACTGGCATGTACAGGTGTGCAGCAGTTTCTTTCAGTCGTGCGGCTTTTGTGTGTGAGTGAATCGGTGTGTGAGCTAACCTACCTTAACTCGGTTTTGTGCGCTGTCGGAATATCTCTTGTCTTCAGTGGTAGACCACGTAGATGTAGACGCTGGCTTAGTTCATAGTTTGTATCTGGTGGTAGTTTTGTTTACGTGCTTAAATAATGCAGAAGGATCTCACATGAAGGGGTACAACAGCCGAAGTACAATTTGGAGCAATTTCTGAGCAGGAAAAACATGCATTTTTTTATCACGAGGTACCAAATTTGGAGCAGTATAAAAAATAACTACACCTAGAAAATATATGTATAGACCCTTGGGCATCACCTAAATCGTGTAGTGTGATATTTCAATGAAAGTGAATAGTATGATAAAGTCTAGAGCGTTTCCTTTAGTGTTCCCCTTGCCACCCCCTCTACGACGCATTTATTTATTTATTTATTTATTATTTATTAGAATACCCTCAGGGCCCGTAGGGCATTACAGAGGGGATGGGTACAACATTTTATAACACACAAGAAAAAAAACACAAAAAAAGAAACAAGTGTCAGATGCGCAAATCACGAAGGCAACATAAATCAACTAAAAATGTATAAGTAAGAATTCAAGCACATACAAGACAAAGATAGATAATGGAAACTGCGTATAGTTACAAACATTGCTGAGAAATTGCAGTCTTGAATAACAAAGGGTCTGTTATTGTTACAACGGAAGATGGAAGGTGGTTCCAATCGGCGGCTGTTTTCGGTAAGAAGGCTGCTGAAAAGAATTTGGTGCGGCAAAACGGAATGGCAACCTTATGCTGGTGATCAATGCGCTATGAGTGGTATGACGGTTGTGAAATGAGGTCTCGCTTCATTGATGGATTGTGAAATAGCTTATGAAAAAAATGCAGTCGCACCAGTTTCCTCCGGACAGTTAAGTTGGGCAGGTCAAGGTTAGATTTCATTTCTGATATGCTAGCAGTACGGGAATAATTAAAACAAATGAACCGAGCTGAGCGGTTCTGAACAGATTCTAACGCGTTTATTAAATTTTGCTGCACGGGATCCCATATAGCGGACGCGTACTCAAGCTTTGGGCGAATTAGTGATCGGTATAGTAGAATTTTGAGGGACAGCGGAGCGCGAGAAAAGTTGCGGCGTAAGTATCCTAGCGTTCGGTTAGCGTTATTACAGACGTAGGTAACATGCGTGTGCCAAGATAGATTGTTGGTAATGTAAACGCCGAGGTACTTATATGAAGATACATGCTGGAGGGGAACTGCGTTAATTCTGTAGGTACAGGGGGGAGAAATAGATCGCCGGGTTATTGACATGCATTTAGATTTGCTAGAGTTGAGAGTCATAAGCCATTTATTGCACCAGGTTGAGACAGTGTCAAGGTCTGACTGTAGAAATTGTAGGCATTGCGTCTTTTCTTTCGCTTGCGACAGTGGCGCCCCCTGCAACGCGCCACGAGCTTGCAGTTTGCTTTCGAGCCAGTGAGAGGAAGAAGCGGCGCAGATCAAAAAAAGGCTATACTTTTCCTTAGGTATAGGGGCTTCCTTATCCGGCCGTGCGCTGCTCAACCTGGCAGGTTATCGTGCCCGTTATCGAACTTGCCACAGAGATCGCGTTTGTTACCTCGTCCGCAAGTTTAAAACCTTTTACGGCTTTACCACGCGAGCTTTCACCTTTGCTGCCAGTGTGCCGCCTACGTTGTTAGCAATACTTTTTTGCAGACTAGTCGGTTCATACTTGAAAAATTGATTTGCTGCACAAACTTGAAGGAAAACAAGGGAGACAGGAAAGAGCGCAGACTACCAACTGTTTATAATTGTCTCAGGTAAGTAGTGAAGAGTCCACAGAACTAGAAATATGTTGAAGCAATACTTTTTTGCAGACTATAGTTGGTTCGTACTTGAAAAATTGACTTGCTGCACAAACTTGAAGGAAAACAACTGAGACAGGAAAGAGCGCAGACTACCAACTGTTTATTGTCGACAATAAACAGTTGGTAGTCTGCACTCTTTCCTGTCTCCCTTGTTTTCCTTGAAGTTTGTGCAGGAAATCAATTTTTCAAATACGTTGTTAGCTTTGCGGGTTTTCGTCCTTCATCTCCCGGCCGCGAACTTCGTATCAAGCACCTAGCTTGTTCTTGCTTCAGTGCTTGAGTGCGGTCTTTTCAACGCAGGACCTTGATGTCATAAACTTCCCGCGACAACGTTCCGAACGGCATGCTAGGCCTAATGGGCATTCTCGCGTTTCGGTAGCGGTCGCGTGCTAAGTTGCGGTTTCGTACGGAATCAATGAAACTCTTTGCGGTGGCTTCACTTGCGGTGGCTTCACATAACGGTAACGGAGACGAGAGTGGCACGTGTAGAGATCGAATGGTGGCTCACGATTCGATTGCAGTGCATCGCAAAATTGTGTGCGCGCTTGTGAAATCGAATGATTGGCGTCTTTCACCGCGTGAAATTTCGGACGCGACTCGACAGTTTCTGTGTAATGCGCATAATCGAGGCGGTCTTAGAAGTGGGTGACGAATTTTCGCAAAGGTGATTTCTTTCGTTAGACACCCCCTCCCCCCCCCCCTCACACACACACACCCTTTTCGTGCCAATGGGTCCCTGAAGCTGTTTTTTTTTTCGCATTCCGTTTTTCATTAGGCCACTACTGGAGCGAATCATTGACACCAGAGTTCAATCGAAGCGCCCATTATTAACGGATCTACGAGTACTGAAAAAGTACCCTCCTTCTCCGCTCCGCCTTTCACTCTCACCTTTCCTGAACTCTTCCTTCGAGCGCCGTGGGCTAAGCTCTGCCTTCACGGCGCCTGAGTCACGTTGTGGCGCGAGACAGCACACGCGTTAATGCCGCCGCCGATCCGACTCCGACACCGGCTGTCTGTGCTGCGCGTTCCACAGCCAATCGGATCAGCTGGAAACGATGACGTCAGTGTGGCAGAGCGTGTCGCTTGGTGTATGGGCGGTTGAAAACGCGTTTGGCCGAGTCGCAGCGATCTGGAGTGATACGCAGCTTTAGAGCGTTGTAATAAATTGCGCAGTTTACGCAGAGGGCTCAAATCGGTCTCTAAATAACCCTTGGCACTTGGTCTACCGGCCCAATGTGTTTGTAAAAAAATGTCGAACCCGTTTTAGCGTTTCTTTAATTTCATTGGCAACGCGTGTCTTAGGATGTTATTTTTTTAACATTCGGAAATTTAAACGGTTGTTTTTTCTTAACATTCGGAATTATAAACGCATCGCATGATTCGCTGCATGCTCAACACGTTTCGCGCAAGTGTGACCCTTGAACAAGGCTGTTTTGGTACGGTACCGCTTATAGAGCGGATATTCGCTATACTCCCGCGACTTACGTTATAAGCGGTCTATATTGTATTTGCAGGCTGGCATTTCATAGTTGTCTTAACAAAAGTGTGCTCACTTCGAATGTAGAGTCGAAAATTCTGTCTCCAGACGTCAATTTTGGATGCTAAAAATCGTCGGCGTTTGAGTTTCCAGACTTCTTCGCCATTCGAGATGGGATGTGGGCTTGTATATAGTTAGCTCATATTCAGTACGTTTTCTTGTAGCGCACTATCTGTCTATATGTGCCTTCATTTCTTCCTGTCTTTTACGCGCACTACAATAAAACGTTCCTTCCAATATTTTAGGTCCTAAACAGCATTATTTGATGTCCCACCTGCTCCACAACTACCTTCTCTATGTTAAAACCAGCGATTTTGGGAAGACGGATTTTAGTATATACTTAAAATGGTCACAAAAAATATTGTTGGCAGTGAAGCAGTCGCAACTATTAAATTTACATGGTAAGATAAAATTTTTTAGACTATGTTTTTGGGGTACCAATTTTTAAAATTGCATTGTGGCTTGAGATGCGAAGTCTAATAGTCCATTGGGCAATAACGCATGCATCGGATGCTATATATAACCAAAATGCCAGCTCAGGCTTGTAGAAATATCTAAAAGTGGCTTTCAGCATGACACATGCGAGTTTCCTTATCATCTTTGTCATTCACTGCAGGCATCTGTTCCACCCCGAGCAGCTCATCTCGGGCAAGGAGGACGCGGCGAACAACTATGCTCGCGGCCACTACACCATCGGCAAGGAGATCGTGGATCCGGTGCTGGACAGAATCAGAAAGCTATCCGAACAATGCACTGGCCTGCAGGGTTTCCTCATCTTCCACAGCTTCGGAGGTGGCACCGGCTCGGGCTTCACCTCTCTTCTCATGGAGCGCCTCTCGGTGGACTACGGAAAGAAGTCCAAGCTTGAGTTTGCCATTTACCCAGCCCCACAGGTACCTTCTTTGTGTGGCCTCCTATTCTGTACGGGGGAAGTGATTTTTAAAAGAAAAAGAAGAGAAAAGTGAGCCCCGTTACTGTCTCTCAGAGGGAGGACACCTCAACAGTAGCTCACGAGGGATGGGGGTAGAGAAGGGAATAAACGGATAGGATTAAAAAGGTACAGAGAGAGAGAGAGAGAGAGAGAGAGAGAGAGGAGAGTGGGGTGGTGGGACAGGGAGCGACGGAAGTGAGGAGAAGACAGGAAAGAAGGACACGGTTGCAGAAGTCTGAGGACGGGGCACCACTGCCGAGCTCTTGTCGGCGACAGGAGATGGCGTAGGGCTAATCCAGTCGTCCAGAGCTACGCTGTCATCGTCGTAGGGGACCGGCGGCAGGAGGAGGCGTAGGACCAACCCAGTCGGCCAGAGCTGCGCTGTCGTCGGAGATCGCGAGGGCACAACCGGCCGTCACGGAACCCAGCGAGCGAGTGTCTATTCTGTGCAGTAGTTTTGCTTGAACTCGGGCTATCCAGACATTATGGAAGTGTTGGCGGCCCGGCTTCCTGGATAGGCTGCTGGCTAATCCTGTTGGCCCAGGAGCTGCCTCATGTCAGTTGTACACGCCAGTCTGTCTAACAGTACACCTGTCTTTGGCCATGTGGTTGGTGTAGGCTTGCTCTCCTAGATATTCCTGTTCTTTGTGGAGTCCAACGGACGAGTACAATGGGTTTACACCATAGATTTCATGCTGTGTAGATCTGCGATTCAGTACCATGCTTTTGTACCATTTTCTATATTAATTGTTTGCTTTAAGGCGAGCCACTTTTATCTTAACGTTCCCGTTGGAATGGCAATATAATGTAGCGATGTAGACCAGGAGTGTTGTTCAGTTTGGCGAGTATTGTCATCTGCTAGTTAAGCAGGTGGTTGCTTACATGCTGTCAGTAAATGGCGCGACAGTAGTGTGTGCGCGCTGGTGCTCACTCTTCCATGTTCCTGTCGCAGATATCCACAGCAGTAGTGGAACCATACAACTCCATTCTGACCACGCACACCACCCTCGAGCATTCCGACTGCGCTTTCATGGTCGACAACGAGGCCATCTTCGACATCTGCCGCCGCAACCTCGACATCGAGAGGCCTAGCTACACGAACCTCAACAGGCTCATCGGCCAGATTGTCTCCTCAATCACTGCCTCCCTGCGGTTCGACGGCGCACTGAACGTCGACCTGACAGAGTTCCAGACAAACTTGGTGCCCTACCCTCGCATTCACTTCCCCTTGGTCACCTACGCTCCGGTCATCTCTGCCGAGAAGGCTTACCACGAGCAGCTCACGGTCTCGGAGATCACGAATGCCTGCTTCGAGCCCGCCAACCAGATGGTCAAGTGTGACCCACGCCACGGAAAGTACATGGCCTGTTGTCTACTGTACAGAGGGGATGTTGTGCCAAAGGACGTCAACGCAGCCATTGCTGCCATTAAGACCAAGCGCACTATCCAGTTCGTGGACTGGTGCCCCACTGGATTCAAGGTATATTTGCTGCTGATACTGTACTCACAGTAGTAGTGTGTGATTGGAAAGACTGGGAGATCCTAAAAAGACAAAATGTTGAGAACTAGTGAAGAATGCCGAGAAAAGTAGCGGGTGTTTGTGCGTGATCGAATTTATTTCGAATTTTTGGGAGCGGTGGCGAATATAGTAAGGAATGAATTGGGGTGCTAACTGAAAACGAGAAGCTCCATCCTAGTTTGAACTAAAATTTTGGCTACAGCAGCCAGAGATCGAAACGGCCCTTTTCGGCATTGACTCAGTTAAACTACTTATAATTATTTTCTGAAAGAGTCTGGTAGAAAAAAATTAGCGCACCATCTTATTTTTACCATTTGCTAAAGTGCCTGAAATTGAGCAATGAGTATGAAGACTTGGAACGCAATTCCAACTGGTTTCATATCCATCGGAAGTGAGGCTGTACAGCTTGCCTCTGGTATCCTTGGAAGTGGCCTGTTCTCTGGTGTCAATTCTAAAACCTGGTTTTTATTGCAGGTTGGCATCAACTACCAGCCCCCAACAGTTGTACCCGGTGGCGACCTTGCCAAAGTCCAGCGTGCCGTGTGCATGCTGTCAAATACAACTGCCATTGCGGAGGCCTGGGCACGTCTAGACCACAAGTTTGACCTGATGTACGCAAAGCGGGCATTCGTGCACTGGTACGTTGGCGAAGGCATGGAGGAAGGAGAATTCTCCGAGGCGAGGGAGGACTTAGCTGCGCTGGAAAAGGACTATGAGGAGGTCGGCGTCGACTCGGCGGATGGTGCAGATGACGAGTCTGGCGTGGAGTTCTAAGTGTCAGTACCGTCCAGCTCGGGGGGCCGTGAAATAAAGCATTTTTTTTCTTCAAACCTGTTGGTCCTCATACTGCAGCGCTTGGTCTGTGCAGATGCAGTAGTTCTTGTTTAATTAAAGTGTGACACAGATAAGCCAGAACTGATTAGCATAGTGCAGTGATGCTGTGGCCTGCATGTAGGGGATTGGGTCCGTTTAGCAGCTCCCAATTGACGCTTCCTCTCCAATGTGGATGCAATGAAGCGCGTAGTACGAAGAAAGCGAGCACAGAGAAACGCACAACGCGTGACATACAGGTACTACTCGCGCGTCTCGGCCCACTGCGCCATGTGCGTCGCTTCCGCGATTAGGCCTCGGTGACGCGCCATTGAGAACAACGGTACGCTGCCGTATTCGATCCCGTGGCTCGCAGCAAGTGAAACGGAAGGCAAAAGCAGCAATGAGTGCATGCGTCCATCGCACGTGCTGGCTCATGAGCAGAGCTGCGAAGAACGAAACTTGTAAACCAGAGCACTGCCACGTGGTCGGGCCTTTTCAGTTCTTCTGACGGGCTTCAGTTGATCCCCATGGGCAAAGCTGGACAGCATTATTGCCCCACACCTCTATTCCCGCCCTGCTCTTCGGTGTGTGCCGTGCATTCCCACGTGATATGGTAGAGCGTCGGTGCGATTTCACACCACGGGGATAATTGTATGACGTGGGGCAGTATATACGTATGTTCTCTGTGGATGTTTATATATGTGTTTGTTGACGATCTAACAATACGAATAACTAAGGGCAACTTGGGCGAAAACGAGGAAAAGCTCCGGTTGGCATTCGATATAATAGAAACGCATACAAAAGAAAGTGGACTACAGTCGCAACTGATTCACCTCACAAAAGACAAGGAATAAAGAACAGATCTGGGACTCAAACTGCGTGGAGATCCCTCTTCAGGGGACTGTTATTCCGCAGAGGTCAATGTGGCTACAATCGAAGAACAGATATCTCCACACTTAAAATGCAACAAATTAATTGGATGATAGCCCATGTTAAGCTGAAAAAATTGGCAGCATATCCACGGAGTGAATGATGGAGAGTGGGGCGAAGCATCCGTCCGTCCATTCGTTCTTGCTTCCGTCCGTTCATGCGTCCGTCTGTGTGGCCATCCGCGCGTCTATTCGCCCATCCGTGCGGGCGTCTGTTCGTGCGTCCGCACGTCCATCTGTGCATCCATCCCTGCGTTCGTCCGTGCATCCGCCCCTGCGTCCGTCCATGAGTCCATCCGTCGGTGCAGCCATCCGTGAGTCCGTCCATGCATCTGTCTGTGTGTCCGTTCGTCCATCTATTCAACACTCCAAGTACCACCATCTCGCATCTTTTCATCATATATTCCGCATATGCACCGCCATCCAGCGGACATGCCAAGGACTAAACGAGAGGTGGCACACGCACACTTTTTTACGGCTTGCGCTTCGTGTCTACTTGCCACCTTCAACCACCTCGACTTTATGGTATATACTAGTTCACTGTATTCATGGCACTGCGGCCCAACGCTCGCTAAACCTTTCTAAAACCAAGGAGGTTATGCCTAGCGAGTATAACGTAGCAACCCTTTATTGTCAGATAGTGCTCAATGTACATGCCAATGGCTGCTAATGGGGAATGAGAGACAGGAGAATTCGGCTTTTAGTTAACGCACACGCTGCGAATTTTTTATTGTTCAACAACGCACAGAAGAAATCTCTCACCTGCACCACCTAGGAGGTCAAATTGTAAGACTGGTTACACACTACAACTACTACTACGAATACGATGAGACGAACGGGTGCCGCTATAAGGAGCTTCGCCCCTTAGGGAGATTGGCCGCTAGGGGTCTTGGAGTGTAGCAGCACTTCGCTTCGGCTCCGTACCGCGACAGCGAAAATTGTAAATCGCTGGTATCTCGAGTGCTCTCAACAACACGAACGCCTTCATACAGGTGAGCGCTCTCCACTAGCCCCTCTTGAGGTTTCGGCGAGCCCCAGGAGGGCCACCAGGCCCAAAAAACCAGGCCCCGTCGCGCCACCGCCGTGCTAGGCCTTGCGATGCGTCACGCCGCAGCGTCCTCACCTTAGGCCAGCATGGAGGTTCGAGTACAAGGCACAGACATGGACCCAAGCCAGTATGACCCTCGGGACTGGACCCAAGTCCTCAGAGCCCAGGCAAACCTCCGGGAAACACGAAACGCGAGCCACGGTACGAACGCCGATCCTTCTGTGCGAGAGACGCCGAGCCAGTCGCGCGAGACTCCGCAGACCGCCACAACTCCCGGGCTACAGAGCTCTTCGACGCAGCTGCGCGTTCTCCATACAACCGCCCAAAAGATCAAGCAACTACCGCCCCTTCCACCCGACGGATTTAAAGTGGTGTTCCGCTCCCAGGGAGGCCTTGACCTTACGACGCTCCAGCCACGCTACCTCCTCACCGCTCTCATGCAGGCCGCTGCGCTGACCGACCCATCTACGCTGACCCTCCGGATTCACCCTGTCAATAACACTTGCACAGTGTCTGCGGTGAATGAAAAGGACGCGCTCAAGCTTGTGCAGCTACAGCACATCACCTACGACAAGCATGAGTATGCCATGACGGCATACATCGCACCCCCCGATGGCTCAGTCAGGGGTGTTATTACAAACGCCTACTGGAAGGAATCACCACAAGAACTACTCGCGGACTTGATCTCCCGCAACCCCCACGAAACTATACTAGACGCTCGACGAATGGGACTCACGCGATCGATTCTCATTACCTTTGGACAAGCCACCGTCCCACGAAAGATTGTTTATGGTGGAGGACTGCATCTGTGCACGCCCTATACACCAAGGGTCGAGACGTGCAGTAACTGCCGGACCATAGGCCACCGCACGGATGTATGCATACAACCTAGGACGCACAGGTGCCCCAGATGTGGCCAATTACACCCGAAGGAGGCAAATCCAACGTGTTCTCCAGTCTGCATCATCTGCGAAGGCCCACATCTGTCGGTGACCCGGGAGTGTAAGCACCGGCACCTACCTAAAGTAACCAGGCCCAAGTCACCACGTGAACCACGATCACAGGAAGGAGTAGACCACTCACTACGCGGTGCAAGCACCAAACGCTCTGAGCCACATGCCGGCCAACGAAAAGGGCAGTCGAAGAGTTCCGACCAACCTACATGGGCGGACAAGCTGAAGACGCCCAATAGGACCAGACCACCGGCAACCAACACTCCGCCTGCCCCGGACCCCCGTGACCAGGAGCTCCGGGCCCTGCGTGTGGAGGTAAGCCGTCTCACGACCCTTCTAACACAAAGCCCTACTCCCCCCTCACCTCCTTCGCAACAGCTGTCCCCAGAGCAAGTCACCCCACCCACTGCGCAGTCACCCAACAGCCCCGCCACACACTCCTCACCCCCCCCCCCCCCTTAAAAAGAAACGCAGCTCAGACTCAGTCGACGATTATCAGGCTGACCTAAGAAGCTTGGAAGCCAAATTTGACGCCAAATTGGTAGCGTTGGAGGCGCGCATCGAAGCTAAATTTTCAACGATAGTCGAGCAGCTGTCTACTCGTTTTGAGCAACAGATGGATGCACTATTCACACGCCTAACCCAAACTCTAGAAACTAGGTTTACGCAATTTGAGACCCGCCTTCAGAGGCTCGAAACTACCAGCTCATCACATGAGGGGTCTTCTACCTACATCTCACACACACCTGCTCCTTCTATTTCACTTCCACTACAGCAACAACAACCAATACTAGCTCCGCCCACGCTCCAATATGGCGGGTCGTGATACTTCTACCCACCTATCACTAATCCAATGGAACTGCCGCGGCTTTCGGGGCAAGCGCGCACCGCTGCAGCTCTTAATACCTGCCCTCCCTGCCATACCCAAACTTCTTTTGTTACAGGACACGCAACACCAAGCCAAACTTCCAAGTTACCATGCAGTACACTCAGACCCCACTGACACTCCCCGAGTGTCCACACTTATTCATCGCACCCTTACCTACCAAGAACACACAATCACCTCCTCCACTCCGTGCGTCCTCATAGAACTCATCCCCACGAAACTTAACACACCTCCGATTTTTATAGCCATTATCTACCACACCCCACGCCAGGTCATGGCCCCTCTCGATGCGCTATTGCAGAGAATTCACCGCATCGCGGGCCGAAACCCCCTACTCATAGGCGGCGATTTTAACTCTCAGCATACAGACTGGGGTTATCGGTACACCACAGCACGGGGTCGCAGGCTTTGGACTACCATTCAAGACTTGCGCCTCACTACACATAACAACTTTCTCACACCAACCCGAATCGGCAATAGCGTAACAATGGACACTAGTCTAGACCTCACACTCAGCCGTTCTCTCAAAGATATCTCATGGTCTCGTACACAACACACACTTGGAAGCGACCATTATATTATAGCCATACAAATACCTCACACACCACACAGACCTCGACTCCTCACCCACAATCTGATTCACTGGGACGCTATCCGATCCGCTCGTCGGGAACTCCCCAATACCCCGATACAAGACATTGATCATTGGGTCTCATCTCTCCTAGATGATATAACCGCACACACACAAAAGATTACCACACCACCCAACACCCCTACATTGGACACTCGCTTAGCCCACCTCTGGGAGGCGCACCACAGCATACTGGAGAGATGGAAATGACAGAAACATAACAGAACGTTAAAACGCCGACTGGCTACGCTACAGACACAAATAACTGCGCACGCCGAGGAGTTGTGTCGTTCCAACTGGGGTCAGGTGTGCAACAGCATAGCTGGCAACCTCTCTACCAAGTACGCATGACACCTCCTACGGCACCTTATCGACCCTACACACTCACGCACAACGTCAAAACATCACATTACACGCCTACTTCACAACTCCATGCTTTCCCCTGACACCCTTCTGGACCAACTACGCACAACACACACGGCACCCGGCACCTCCTCCCCTCTCCCGCCCAACACGGGAGCCCCGAATGAAGCCCTGGACAACGACATATCGGAGCAAGAGGTCCGTATG